TTCCGGGTGCATTTAAAAATTTCGGCTTTTGGGACCCACCCTCCTATTGTGGGTGTAGGTAGAAGATTCGATAAAAATGTATAGGGAAATGTAACATTGTCCTTCATCAAATAATTTGCAAGTTTCTGTTTCTAACTTTTGCCTTTATATTTTAGAGAAGTTTGTACTCGTATATTCTAATAAATATTCAATATCTTCAAATAACATCAGAATTTGATAATTAACGATTTCTTCGATTCTGATTTAAAAGATTATTAAAACGTACTTAAAGCTATAATAGATCATGAAAGAAGCACATTGGACGGATAATATAATATGCATCGACCATGGTTAGAAATCTAGATTCAGAGGGTGTTTGGTAAGAATTTTTATGTGAAAATGAATTTTTGAATAGTAAATTGATGGGAAATGTGTGGTTGAAAAATAAGAAAAAGTTTTTGATTTACGTGTAATATTATTTTAATAAAGAATGTGTGGTTGAAAAGAAGAGAGAGAAAAATACATTTTGATAAAAATGGGTGCCAAACAGAACCTCAATCTAAACAAATAAATACATTCAAAGTAAAGCAAGGTTTTGATAAATTTCAAGGAGCAATAATCATATTATAATCGAGAAAAACTTTAGTTTCAAGGAAAGATTTTGGTGCTTTGAAAACAGTGGTTACCACTTTCCGACACCAAAACTCAAGATTCTCCAGGTCAAATTGACTCTTCTAGACCTCTTAGGGAACATAAAATATGATTATATTTTTATCAAGTTAATTTCACCAATAGTCACTGGAGTTTGTAATATATTTAAGATAGTTATTAAATTATTTTTTTTACAATAATAGTCACAAAAATTTCTTACGATTACGCTAATGGTGCCGAAGTTAGAGATTAATGGAAAATCCTACATATTGCTGTTAAAGTTGCCCTACTTTTAACCTTCGTGTAGAATATGTGAAGGATATAAGACGTGTTTCGAAAATGACAACTCTTTAATTTGAGGTCAATTTGGTAATTTTTTGCACTAGCTGAGTTGGATAGGAAGGTTTATATGGTAACCTCCAATTGGTTGGATTGTTGATTCCCAAATTGTGTTTCTTTATATGGTTTGTGAGTTGTTCGATTTAATCAACGATTGTGATCTTTAGTTGGTTTTTTAACTTGTTGGCTAATGAATTTTGGGATTTCATTTGGTCTGTTGGTTTTCGATTTTTGACTTCTGAAGTCTCGCATTCTCGCTAAAATCTCTTCTTCTTCTTCTCTCTTTGGTTGGTGTTTCAGATCTTGAAAGGATCTGTGAAACCCTTGTGTAAATCGCTGTTGTAACAATAACATTGGGTCGATTGTTGTGTATAGCTTGTTAGGGTCAGATTTTGGGTTGAAGTTTTAGGAGATCATTAAATCGACGATTAAAACTTGTGCGATCTAACATTTGGTTGATGTAAACACTCTCTCTAGAAGCTTTATTGGCGCACATAGTGGAAGGGCTGGTAGTTGAGCCCCCAGACATGGCCATTGTCGAACTGGGTCAACATTTTTTATGGTCTTACGTTTTTATTCCTCTTTTTTTTTTTTTTTTTTTTTTTTTAACCTTTTCTTTTTATATTTTTTTTTTTTTTTTTTTCCTTTTTTTTTTTTTTTTTTTTTTTTTAACACTTGCTACTTATAATATTCTGCTATTGTAATTTGATTTGGGACAAAAAAACCCAACAATATGGTTAGTGATAAATCTGAAGAGAAATTGGAGATTAAAATTGGAAAATGGGTTAGGGATGAAGTTGAGAAATTGGAAATGAAAATCGTTTTGAAGGGAAAAACATAGTTGGCAAATACAATTTTAAATAAAAAACGGCATCCGGTACACAATGCAAGATAATGTAGTTTTTATCGCCGGTATTTTTATTAGAAACTTTTGTGACTAGTAGTTGTAAGAAATTACATCCAATAATCCTTTTGAGATTTATTATAATTTAATGAGCATTGATGGAATTAACCATTTTTTTTTATATCCAAGTATCCCAATTTACATTAGACTAAATTCTGGACCCCCAAGACCCTTGCTCCTAGAATTTTGGAGGGAGTAAATCGCGGGTTATACTTCAATTGGATCACAGGTGAATTAACCATATTTTTACCACATGGAGAGTGGAGAATAAGTTAAATTAATCTACCTAGATGAAAAGATAAACAATATTATTCCCTAATGGTGGCGATGAACAATTGGCAATCCTCGTTTGGGGTAGCTGGGTAAAGAGTTCACCCGTTCAGGGCCAAATTTGATGAGTCTACCATGCAATCATTGTTCGTGAAATAATGACTAAAAGAGAGGTCAGAAAAATTGGATGTGTACTTTTATGATATTCTTTATCTCCTCCACCAACCTTTTGGTCCTTTTCCCTAAAGAGTAATTAGCTTTCTGTTGTGCTAAACAATAAAAGAGAACAAGTGTCTGAGAAGTGAATAATGGCACCAACCGACTAAACTAATCTTGATGTGACAGTCGAACCTCACATAGCTTTTACTATTCCTACCTAATCAAAATCTTTGTCAATTGTGTTTTTGAGATGTGTCAAAATGGAGTTAATTAAATCATTGCCTACTAAATTTTACTTTAGAATATCACTTGCTCGTAGAATTAAAAAATATTACTCACTGCTCACTTATTTATTCAAACATTTATCCATTCATCTCTCCATTTAAATTCTTTGCCAAAATTGACGAAAAATTCCATGCGTGCTAACGAAAAGCTGACTTCACACATTTATACCGTTAATTTATTCACTTTGATTAAAAAATAAAATAAAATTAAAAAACCCCAAATTACAAACACAAAATCCCTGTGTTTAAATAAAATTAAAAACTCCCAAATTTTGTTTTATTTTTTATTTTTTTTTAAAAACCCTTGATTGCAATAGATGAATCTTCATACATTCTTGTTCTTAAATTCGTTCTTATTTATCACTAGTGAAAGGTATTTGTTAAAAAAATAAATAAATAATAAAACATAATTTGAGGGGTTTTTAATTTTATTTAAATAGAGGGATTTTGTATTTGTAATTTGGGGTTTTTATTTTTTTTATTTTTAATCCAAGTGGATAAATTAACGGTATAAATGTGTCAAGTTAGTTTTCCGTTTGTACACGTGGGGTTTTTCGTCAATTTTGACAAAGAATTTAAATAGAGTGATGAATGGGTAAACATTTGAATAAATGAGTGGGCAGTTAGTAACCCTTTTTTAATTCAGTAGGCAAGTGGTAACATAATGTAAAGTTCAATAGGCAATGATTTAATTAAATATGTCAAAATGTATCCATCAATAATTCAGTTTAGTTTAGTCAAGACTCGTTCTGATTAGAGCCATTCCTCGAGGGCAGCCCAACATGGTATAGCCACAGCTTGTCTCGCAGCACAATGGCCTCTACAACTAGACTGTGTACGGCTCGACTATATCTTTTTGGATAACACTACTTGTATATAATTTTTTCTGCATTAACATATCTATACACTTGTGGTGGGACCCACTCAAATGGACCTCACCCCATGTTAGTGTGGGACACCCATGTTAGTGTGGGACACTTTAATGTACAAAAATTATGTATACCAAGCAAAACACTATCTTTTTAGGCCATTTATAACTCTAAATCAAAATATGAAGTAAATTTTGGATCATTTTATACCAAATCTTGCATCAAAATGAAAATATCTCCAAATTATTACACCAAATGAATAGTGTTTAATTATTTTCTTCATTTTTTTAATTCTTAACAAATTTGTTATTTGAAAAATTATTTATTTATTTATTTTACAATTATATAAGTTACTAAGTCACTATTTGGCCCCCGTTAAAATTATAATATGCTTTTCTCCATTCTTATTAACTACACATTTTTCACTAAAATAATATTACGTGTAAATTCAAAAAAAAATTTCTTTTTTAACCACACATTCTTTAAAAAAACACCATTCAAAAAATTATAATCTCAAATAATGGGGGCCAGACCTTGGAGGGTAAATAACTACGTTAAATTAACGAAAATATTAAATTCATTAATAAATTTTTAAAATGTATTAAAATTAATAGAAATACCACAAATAACAAAATCTGAAATCACATTATTATAAATAGTGCAATATGTTTCGAATCTCAATATCATTATATTACAAAGTCAAAATAATATTACAATTTAATTCTCGAAATCTATATAGTCATCTCACAAATGATCAATAAATGCATATCGAAATACAATATGAGCCTCTTTATCCTTGATTTGTCTATGATAGAGCAAGAAATTCTTGAAATTGATTGCTTTCGTCTTCAATCAACTTAATTCATTCATTAAATATTATTGATTTCATTGTTAAACTTCTTTACAAATGCACATTATTATTATTATTGTTGTTGTAGTATTTAAAAATGTATAACAAAAATAGACACAAATCCTTTACCAATATTTTTGCAAAGTGAAAGGGGAGTAACATTGTATTTAACTATTTTGGTATAAAAGGGAAAATATGGTGTTAATTTGAAGAGTTTGAACTGTTTTTTTTTTTTTTTTTTGGAGGGGGTGCAAGAATGGTGTTTTGGAGATAACATTGGAGATGGCCTTATTGCCTGCAAGTTCAGCCATGTAGGGTCTCGATCCTTTAAAAAAGAAAGAATAATGTTGACATGATTTCAACGTGAATTGTCTCTATTATTTGCAGGCTTCAGCTGGAGTAGGGTGACACAAAAAGAAGGGCAAATCCAAAATTGCAAACTCAAAGTACCCTGCTATACCGTGCTACTATGTGAAATCTTGAAGCACAAACAGAGTTAAACTCAACCAACATCCCTGAATGTTTCATCTTCGACCAAGTAAAAGTTACAGCACAAACAGTTTGGTTTCTTCTCCTTCTATTGTTTATAAAAAGAAAACGACAACTTACAGATCTTTAAATTCATATTGATTAGTCTTTAATTTACCTCGAGACAGCCACCTACGACCGGGGTTAGGTTAGTGTAGAAAAAACAATTCAAACAATACCAGAATTAAGGTACACACATTAGTAATTTAGTACCATGTGTGTTATTCATTGTACATGACAAAATACTATACTAAACGGTGCATATAGCCCCCGCAAAATTCTAAAGCTTCCCTGTAGAAACCCCAGAGTGGGCAACATGTAGTGCGCAAAGAGAGGAAGAACAATTACTCATTTTACCCCTCAAAAGTTATTCAACATTTACATAACAAAGCATGCATTTGGATTCTCATCACTAAACATCTGTGGAGGATGTTCATACAAGTCTTGCACAAACATCTGATCAGGGTAAACATGGAAATTCGGATGAGGCTGGTAATAGTAGAACTCATTCTTTTTCACATCCATTTTAGAATCCTCCTCCAGTTCCGCCTCCGGTTTAGTCGGTGGTGGTTCAGTGGCTGAGCCGCCATCAGCCGCAGCCTCCTCCTTTTCTTTTCCACCCTCTTCGCCCTTTTCTACTTCCTTTTTGCCTCCCTCTGGTTTCTTTCCTTCTTTCGACTTCTCTTTTTTCTCGACTTCGACCTTCATGATCACCGCGTGTTTTCCTGTTCTCTTGTTCACGTGATTAACAAGGCTTTCCGGTTCAAACACCCCTTTCACTGTCACTTGTGAGCTCTTTAGGTCAGGCTCTGCACTCTCCACTCCTATATACAAGCATGTTTGGCTAAGCTTATGAGTTATAAAGTTTACTTATTTAAGTAAATAAGCATGTTTGGCTTGGCAAAATCCTAAAAATGAACCCCAGGCCCAAAGCCAAACATGATCAAAATAAGTGGCGTATAAGTAAATAAGCATGTTTGGTTTAGCTTAATGCTAAAAATGAACCTCTAAGCCAAAAATGTCAAACATAAGCGATTTTTTTTCCCCAAACATGTTGAGAATTGCTTATTTATGCCAATGCCTGTCCAAGATTCTTTAAAGTAACTATACACATTAAACGAAATTATTATTGATAAACAGAATCCAATGAACTAAATATTTTATTACAATTAAAATTCGTAAAGATCCTCACGGGTTAAATAATATCAAATAATTGGCGAAACTTTACTATAAAGAGATGCAAATGACTGAAATGAGAGAGAGAGACAGAATAGCAAATAATCATATATGCAAATACAGCTAAAAAGGGTATAAAGCCATAAAGAGCAAAACAATTATAAGCATAAAAAAATCACTTTTTTATTTTTTTTAATTTCACCTTTCATTCTTTGTATGCGTTTTCTGATTTCTTGAGAACAAGCCTCGCAATGCATGTACACTTTCAGCACCACTGTAATCTTGGGAGGCTGTAAAAATATTTAACAAAAACAAATTATTCAACAAAAATAATAGAAAAAAGTAAAAAAATAATTAAATAAATAACAAACCTCCTCTTTTTTCTCTTCTTTGACCACCTCCTTTTCTTCTTTCTTTGGCTCCTCCGCCGGTGGCGGTGGCGGTGGCGGTGGCGGAATTGGAGAGATAAGCTCAACTTGACGGTGGCTTTTCCTCTGAACCCTAGCTAAAACCTTAAGTGGATCTGCTTTTTCACCTTTAACAACCACCTTACTAGTTTTACAGTCCGTTATTACATCCTCAACTCCTACGAAAGTTAAAAAATATGGGTTTGAATTAAAAATTTCCATTGTACTATACTGCCAAATCCATTTTAACAAACATGACGTCCGGGATCTGATTACCTTCGAAGCCTTTGAGGCACCGACGGACTTTTCTAGCACAAGCTTCACAATGCATGTACACTTTCAATATTATTTCTTGCGGCGGCGGTAGTTTAGGCGGAGGTGCCGCCTTGGATTCTTCAGATTTCTTCTCCTCCGCCTCCTTTACTTCCTCCCGCTTCTTAGGCTCCTCCGGTTTCTGAGCTTCCTCTGGTTTTTTCCCCTACCAAGGAAAAAAAAAAAAAAACTATTAATCCAAAACCAAAAATGAAAATGGGTAGCAGAGTGATGAAGATTGAGATTCGGAATAAAAACCTCTCCCATTAGAATTCAAAGAACACGCAGACACTTTTAAATGTGTGTGTGTGTGTGTGTTTTTTTTTTTATCAACAGAGTTTTGATTTTGTTGGAAATTGGAAGATGCGAGAGTAATGGAGTACTGAGGGGTATATGAGATCTGGAGAGGTCCATAATAGCGTCACCATTTAAGTGACGTGGCACATGTGTAGGTGGCACGTGCAGAGGAATGGTGAGACATGCGGTCATCCTACGTTGCGTTTTGAACACGACTTTGTTTACGTACTAACAACTTTTGGCACTATATATAGCCCATGTTTAAACCACATTTTAGGATAAAAATGTATTATTTATGTCAAATCAATGAGAAATGTGTGGTTAAAAAAAAGAAAAATTTTAAATTTACGTGTAATATTATTTTATTGAAAAATGTATTATTAAAATTATGTTAAATTACTATTAAAAATATATATATTTTTAAAAGTAATATGGCTCAAAGAAGCCCATAATGAAATAATTCTTGTGTTATATATATATAAAAAAAAAAAAAGGTTGACCCCAACTTTGAGGGCTCCCACGGCCCCACCTCGTCTCTAGAGCTTTGTGAGGTAGGTAAATCGCGGGATGTGTCCCAAGAGACAAGGAACGAGAGCTGTCAGTACACTGCGCCTACAAGAAATTCAATTTTATGTCTCTAATTCTTGTGTTATATGCTTTGCACTTAAGATCGCTAAATGCAACAACGGACACAACGGGAGTTTTCGGGGTCACGTGACCCCCTCAACTTTTTAGATTTTTTCTTAATATCTTTATTTATTTCCACAATATANTATATATGTATATGTATATATATGTATATATATATATATATATATATATTTTTTTTGAAATATAATTATATTATATTTTTTATTTTATGTAAATTTATCTAAATAGACATGTAAAAATTAAATAAAAATATATCGTTCTAACTTCATCCACTAATATTTATTTTTATAAATTCTTTTAAACATTTTTATATTCTTTTAAAGTTTGTGTTTAACTAAAATTCTAATAAAATACAATTTTCATCTAAAATCATAATACCCTTATTATAATATATCCTCTTCAACGGAAATTAAAAAAAGAAATCAACACATTATTGAGTTATAATTCTTTTGTAATATGAAAAATAGAATATTATTTTTTATGCTTTTTCAAGTATTGATTTGAGACCGATGAAAATATACGGGAAATTTCAATACCTGTACAAATATTTTTACATTACAAAAGGAAACAACTTAAAATTATTAGTCAAAACACAAACAACCAAAATTATGAGCTTATAAGAAAAAAAGTATATATATATATATATATATATATATATATATATATACACTATACTAAAGAAAATGATAAATCACGGTGAGCTTATAATAATAATAATAATAATAATAATAATAATAATAATAATAATAATAATAATAATAATAATAATAATAATAATAAGAACAACAACAACAACAACAACATATGATTTGATGAGAGATTTGTTTGGTTGATTAAGCAGTATGCTTTTGATATAATCCTATAAATTCAATAAAAGAGATTTGCGAACATTTATAACTAAATATTAAAGCACTAACGTGACATATAGAAAATAAAAAGTAAGAACCAGATTTAATGTTGATAGTGATTGGATGAATATAGTGATTTTTTAAAAAATTTTGAAATTGTAATAGGAATATATTTACAGTGGGATGAATATATAAAATTTGTATGGATCTATAATGTTTAAATGAATTAATTTAATAAGGTCAATATTAAAATTTGATGTTGCTGAAAATAGTAAATTTTTAAAATTTTAATATTTTAATAAGGATGTAAATAGAGTGGGATGTATATATAAATTTGGGGATGTAAATAGCGGCTCCTTTTTCATCTATAAGGTCTTGTTTAGTATGGGTTAAAATTTAAATTTTAATATAAATAAATGTATTTCACTCACACTTTAGACATCAACTAAACTTAATATTTAGCTAATTCCTACAAGTTGCTAGAGTATTTTAATGTGTGTTTTGATGTTGTAATATAGCTTGATGAAATTGAAGAAAGTAAGTAAAAGTTGACAAATTTGAATAAAATGGCTAAATTGTAAAAGATTCAAAGTTCGGGGACTAAAGTGCAATCAATCAAAAGTTGTGTCGAATCACACGATGAAGATTTGAGAGTGCTACGTGTCAATTGGATGAAGAAAAATGTCAAATGGATTAAATATAATTAAAGTATTATCAAATATCAATTTCCAACCGAAAAAGTTATGCTTTAAATTTTTAATCTCACATTGAGACCCATTTTTGACACAGCAAACTACCGAATTGGAAAATGATATCTGAAGTAAAATTGTATCTCTTTGAGTTTCTTTCTAATACATCTTGAATCGCCTCAATTGAATATTGAGAGAAAAAATTATGACAAAAATATTGAATAATGAGCAGTGCTGTCTTCACCCCGAAGTGGGCGCGCCACAACCTTGCGGGGAAAATGTTTCTAATGTTTTTGGACTCTTTTCATGGTTCAATTCTACCCTAATTTGTCCAAAACTTCAAGATGTTATAAATACAACCCTAGAGACCGCTTTTGGAGGAAAAAAAAGATGAGGAGGAAGAATTCAACTCTATAATTCATACAATTTGAAGGAGAATTCAAAGAACAATTCAACGGAGTAAGAGGGGCTAATATCAAGGAATCGAGTGAGAGGCACAAAGAACATCAAAGGGATAAAACCAGTTTAAAACTTCAAAAGAGTTTTTCCTTTTTCTTCTCTCTATGTTATTCGTTAATATGTTTAGATTTAATTATTCTATCATGAGCTAAATATCTAATCTAGGGTTTGATTGTAACCAAAATTTGAGATTATGATTTGATTTTATCACAATTATTTATATTTGATTTTCCACATATGTTTAGTCGTGTCATGAAATTAATGCTTTCAATTAATTGGCCACCAATTGAATGAATCGATGTTAGTCAATTTTGGCACTCAAGAGAGGGGAAATTAGGTAGGATCATATGATTGACACAACGTAGATTTTATGGATTTTCAGAAAAAGTATAGGATCTACGAAATTTACTCCTTAAAAGAATCATGAACTTGATAAATTATTGATTTTAATTCGAAATAGAGATATTGAAATCGAAATCTATGATTAATTTCTAATCGGCACTCGAAAGAGGGGGAAAGAAATACATTAGAGCTCTTACTTTTAGACATGGAAAAATTGAATAGAATAATTGAACATAATTGAATCATAATTGATAATTACGTAACTCATAACCTTAAACGTTCTCATCTTGATTATTATTCCAATTTGCATTTATTTGTTGAATTCATCAACATATTCACCTTTAGATTGGGTAATACTATTGATCATAACCATTCATTCTCTAGATAAAATAAAGACTATATAATGATAGTATTTAGTAAAAATTAAATTACAACCCTTGTGGGTTCGACACTCTTAACTCCATTACAATATTACAAAAATTGACACCGTACACTTGCGGTATAAATCAACCATAGATTACACCATCTAAATTTGACATTTAGTTAATTCCTACAAGTTTTAGAGAATTTTAATGCGTGTTTTGATGTTGTGATATAAGTTGATGAAATTAAAGAAAATAAGTAAAAAGTTGGCAAATTTGGAGAAAATGACAAATTATAAGAGATCCAAAGTTCGGGGATTAAAGTACAAATACTCAAAAGTTGTGTTGAACCTCGCGATAAATATTTGAGTGTTACGGGTCAATTGGATGAAGAAAGATGTCAAAGGGATCAAATATAATCAAAGTATTATCACACATCAATTTTCAACAAAAAAAGTTATGCTCTGAATTTTTAGTCTCACATTGAGACCTATTTTTGACATTACGAACGATCGAATTGGAAAATGATATTTGAAGCAAAGTTGTATCCCTTTGAGTTATTTTTTCAACTCATTTTGAATCATCTTAATCGAATATCAAAAGAAAACGTTATGATAAAAACACTAAATGATATGCAGTGCTGTCTTCCACCTGAAGTAGGCGCCCAGCGCCCGCACTGTCGAAAATAATAAAATTCGCTTTTGGCCCAATTCAACCCTAATTCATCCAAGACTTCAAGATGGTATATATACAACCCTATAGATCACTTTTGCAAGAAAAAAGGAGAATTCAACCCTACAATTCATACAATTCAAATGAGAATTTAAAGAACAATTCAATGGAGCAAGAAGGGCTAACATCAAATATAAATCAAAATCAACAATTAATTTTAAGAATATATTTCATGGGATTCATAAATTTTCAACTTTTATTAAAATTTACTAGAATTTTGATTTTAATCTCCATTAAATAGGAACAAAAACACAATAAATTTGAACTTTTCACTTTTTCTTACTCTCTCGTGACTCTCTCCTTCACCCCTTTTATCGAAACCTTAACTCTTTTAATTTTTTAAAATTTGTTTATATTTTCTCTACAAATTATAACATTTACTACAAATCTTCACTTCCTAATCATATTTTGAACCTAAATTTGCATTTTCTTGTATCAAATTGCGTATATAAAATGATATTGGTTATATGTTTTTTTCCTTGTTATTACTTGAATTGATTGTTTGTATCAAATACATTATAAATTCTTTAAACGTAAATATGAATTGTAGCAAACGATCGAATTGGAAATTGATATTCGAAGAAAAGTTGTATCCCTTTGAGTTATTTTTTCAACGCATTTTGATACACCTCAATCGAATATCGAAAGAAAACGTTATGATAAAAATACTGAATGATATGCAATGCTGTGTTCTACTCGAAGTAGGCGCCGCAGGGCTCGTGCTATCAAGAATGATAGAATTCGTTCTTGGCCCAATTCAACCCTAGTTCATCAAAAACTTCAAGATGGTATAAATACAACACTAGAGATCACTTTTGGAAGAAAAATGAGAATTCAACCCTACAATTCATACAATTCAACAGAGCGAGAGGGGTTAACATCAAATATAAATCAAAACCAACAATTAATTTTAATAATATATTTCATGAGATTCATAAATTTTCAACTTTTATTAAAATTTACTAGAATTTTGATT